GATGTGAATCCAAGACAGCTATCTGAAAACATTACCAGAGCATCTCTTTTGACTAGAGAGAGCTCATTGGCCTTGCATGTGCCTGTCATGACCAATGACGTGCCCTCCTGCCCTGAGTTACCAGTATCGCTAGGCTGGCAACGAGTCTTAGGAAGTTTACATCATCTCTATATTTTTGAAGTTACTAAATGTGAAAAATATCATGACCTCAGTGTTCCCTTGGTGAGCCAGATTCATAGCATTACCACCACCTGCTCTTCCAAAGGTTTCCATTTAATGCAGGTTTAAAAATAAGGACTCTGAACTCTCTCTTGCTTTCTTTAGAGGAAAGGTGTAAGTCTGGTTGGAGAGTTTAAGAAATTCCAGGGTGATGCAGTGGAAAAAACAAGTCTCAGCTTTGCCACATGACCTTGCGCAAGTCAACTGCATAGGCCTTCAATTTCTCCATCTCTAAAACAGAGTGATTAAATAAGACAATTTGTTTGTAGGAAAAAGGATATGGACTGGGTTATGTGTCAGTTTATTTAAAATTCATTCAAAGCTTGAAAATGAAATTGTGCGATACTTGGTAAACATGTATTGGCTAACAAACTGCTTAAAATAGGTAGTTTAGAACCTTTTAACCCTTCCTTCCTTCCTTCCTTCCTTCCTTCCTTCCTTCCTTCCTTCCTTCCTTCCTTCCTTCCTTCCTTCCTTCCTTCCTTCCTTCCTTCTTTTCCCATCCAGACACTACTTTAAGTGCTAGAAATGCAGTTCTGAATAAATAGACAAGGCCTCTCTTTTCTTGGAACACACATTCTGGTGGTATAAGTAGAGGACATGAAAAGAATACAATGAAAAAACAGGTTTTAAAGTGATTGAATGCAAGTAGGGGTTTTATATTTCATAAAGGGCTGTTAAGATAGGTTTCTCTGAAGGGGAAACGTTTTGCTGAGATACCAATGCTGAACTGGGGCCAGTGTTGTTCTTAGGGGAGACTATCACAGACAGAAGACCCAGGAAGTGCAAATGGGCTGAGGAAGGTTTGAGCATGGCCTGTCCACACAACAGAAAGAAGGCTCCGTGTCTGGAGCCTGGGGTACGTGGAGGAGAGTGGAAGAAATGGTATTAGAAAGGTAGCGCCAGCCAGGCCATGCACTGCGTGTTAAGAGCTCTGATTTGTATTTAAAAGTCACTAAAGTGTTTTCAGTATAGTTATGATGCATTTCACATTTTTAAATTATTACTTTAGCTGCAGTGATTTTAGGAGGTAAGAATAGAAGCAGAAAAACACATTAGCAAAATAAAAAGTGTACCAGGATCCAGAAAACTGGAGTAACCAGAAGGATTATTGGAAAAAGTAGAAAATGAACTAAAATTGAATTTGAATGCCTCCAGTACCAGGCAACCCATTATCTTTTAAGGCAGATGAATCTATTTTTAAACAACTTCATCTCTCGGTCATCTCTCAGAAAGTACATGCCACAATTTATCACAGTATACAGTATGTGCTCAATAAGTATTATTTTTCCCATTCTTGCCCTGTAGTGTTCACACATCAGTCCTAGATTCATCCCTTGTGATCACACAAAATGATTTTAACCATTTAATTAAAATCCACTCAGTAAGCAGAGGCTGAACATTCTGATTTCCATTTATTTGTCTAATTGTGGACAGCTTTATATTCAGTGACAGATCAACACCATTATTTCTTTCTTTCCCATACGCCCACAATTCTTATTAGACACATGCTAGAATTGTGCTATGATGAAAACATTCTTCTTTTTTGACTATATATACATAGTGAAAAGAGGTCAGGTGTTGGGGGACTTAGGGAGGTTCAACGTTTTATCAATTTTCAAGTCCTGCTGGTCTCTTGAGGAAGAAGTACGTTCCTTAAGTGAAACCAAGTGGGTTGGCCTTAAACAACTTTAGTCACAGTGATCAGAAGACAGTTTGTGCCAGGTGGAAAGAAGGCATAGTTCTGACCTTAAGGGGCTGACTGAGCTCTGGAAAGCAAGGGAGCCAGGCAAGAGGTATATAAAGTTGTCCTGGGGCCATACAGCTGAAATTAAGACCGCTTGGGAGACCAGGTGTACGATGGCTCAGACCTACAATTTTGGAGATAATTAACTAATAGAGTGTTAGAATTATTATAGAATAATAATTATTATAGAATATTAGAATCGAATTATTCCCATATTCATACTATGTAAGCCAGGCACTTTTCTGGTTATTATCGTTTGTTCTCTTCAGTTCACATTTATGTTCGTAAAGTAATTTTGAACAATTCTATCTTATATCTGTTGTTTTCAAGGAAACCAAGATATGGTGTACAGAACCACATTTGACCTAGAATATCAAAGGGAAAGCATCTCATCTCTGTGTTGTGGCATTATGGGGGAGGAATCAGCCAAATTCTTAAAGGGCATGGTTGGACTCAAGCAGAGAGAATTTAGTGATCCTTTCGCCTTTTTTCTTTTTTCAGTTAAACATTCTGCTTTGATTCTTACACCCCTTACGTTTTGTTTTAAATAAAAGAAGACATTTTCCTTGCATCATCACCACCTTGATCCCTCCTCTAAACAGATGCTTGGGTTGAGCTGTTTTCAAAATGTGGTCATCAGGCCAGAGGCATCAGCAACCTCTTGAAATTGCTAGAAAGGCAAATTCTTAGCGCCCAGACAGACTTAAATGTGGCATACTTGGGATAAGTCTGAGCAACTTCTGTTTAACAGGCCCCTCCAGATGATTCAGATGCATGCTAAAGTTTAAAAATCTCTGATCAAATTGGTCTTAAAATGAATAACTGAGAGAATCCCCACAATTTACCTGTGAGGTAGAGCAGTAATTCCTGTTGCCTGCAGTGAGCTGGAGGTGGACCTAGGATTAGAATCAGTTCTCTTCAATTCCAGGCCATGGCTCTTTCCAATGCATATGCTCTCAACCTCAGAGCTTATAAAGAACTATAGTCTAAAGGTTACTTGGAACATTATCATTTGTTTAGTTTTGTAGGTTTACCAAGCTGCAAAAAAAAAAAAAAGAGTAATTTTGTATTTAGAATTATAAATTAAGAGGGTAGGCAGAGATGTGCACAGCCATATGGATATGTAGATATTTATTGAAATATCATTTATGACAGAATTTTTGAAAATAAAAAACTGAGAACTTAAATGATTAACAGATAAAAAAATGAATAAATAATTTTATAATATATCCAAATATTCTGATACTATGGAGGCATTAAAAGTCATGTTTTCAAATGATATGTGGTTATACAAAAAAATATATACTTGGTATGAAAGTACAAGAGCATAATATAAAACTGTATATGTATTAAAATCCTTATGTTTTAAACAAATGTGGCTAGAGATTATATTTGTAGAAAATACAAATATCAGAAATGGAAAATAATATACCAACATTGTAAAGATAATTATCACTGAGTAATAGTTTAATGGTGACTTTTTCTTCTTGCTTGTCTTTCTTGTTGAACATCTAACTACTTAATTTTTTGAACTTCATTATCCATGAGTGTTCCATCAAGCATACCAATGCCACTTTCTTATTTCAATATTAGTGCTCAACTTCTGGATAAACCAACTTCTCGATTTTCTCATGTCCTTTATTCTCATCTGGGCTATTAATTCATGAGTGTGAAGTGAACTATAAGTGTAAAGAACTCTGATGATATTATGAACCATTATTAAATATGATTACCAGCTATGAAGTTTCTTGTTTTGTGTCATATGTCTCAGCAATATTAAATACCACAAGAGAGGAAGTTGGAACTTTATTTTTCACTGAAGAAATCCCAAGTTGCTGTGTTTTTGCATATTTATTCTTCATTTATGCAACAGTGACAGGCAACTATTTTAGGAATTATCAAGAACTTTCCTCTTATTATCCCCTAATCTATCCTCTTTTCTTTCAACATGGCTTAGTCAAAGTTAAGAGAATTGTTTTGCTTTTATGACTTGCAAGAAATACTATGCAAAAACTTGTTAAACATTAAATGATAAGAATTAGAATGACAATAAATGTTTTTATCAGGATAAATGCTAATGTCTCTAGGCACACCTCATCTATGCACTTATATTCCTCACTAAAGGGAGAGAGAAAAAGGGAACAAGAGAAAAATAACTGTAGTTTATTGTGAATAAGTGCATTAATTCATTCCAAAAATATTTACTGAGTGCATATTCTGTGTGAGGCGCTGTGCTGAGCATCACTGTGTAAGCACATCATGAAGTTCATAGTTTAATGGAGCTCATGAAACATTATTAGACATAGACATCAGAACTCAAAGTTAAAAAAGAGAGTAGACCAGAAGAGATGTAAAAGGTCAGTAATGATGAGCATTCAGAAGAGGAATGTGTATTTCCAATGAAACTAGAAGTTTGTTTGGAAGTGTTGAGGAGATGATGAATAGGAGATCCTTCCAAAGGGAGCATAAGCAGGAACTTCAGAGTGGCAAATGATGGCATAGACATGAAAACACAAGTAGTATTCTTTTCCTAGAGCATATATCCCCACTGACATGCTATTTTGAAGTTTGTTCACCTAGAACAGCAAATAGGAAGGCCTCAGTAAAAGGTAACTCATGATATCACACTTGGAGTAAATCGATTTGGGGAAGAAGAGGAATGAATATAGCCTGGCTACCCTGAGGACTGCTTCTGCCCAAACACACATTTCCCAAAACTCCAAACTGACTAACCAAACAAAAATTCCAACTCAAGAAATCTTGAACATAATGTGTTTTTAGAGTAAGTTATGTTGAAGGGGTCATAGATGGTTATCTATCATACACTAAATATGTGCATCCTACACTAAACTTCTCAGAAACTTTCTTACTCTTCATCTTTTTCCTTCACCTTCCCCTTCTTCCTGTGATGTGGCTCATCCTTTCCATAAGAGTGAGTATGGAATGCAGTTGACTTTCCCCTTTGGAGTGGGGATTTCTCTCCAGGAAATATTCCCAGGACACTTTGGTACATAAAATTATTTGTCTTCTATAGGAAAGAAGCAGAAGGAGAGGTAGAAAAGGGAAATGGAGACCTTACCCAAGATCAAGAAGCTGTGAAATGACAGAGGTAAGATTTTATTCAGCCATGCTCTATGGCATAGGCAATATTCTATACTACCTGATACTAATGTGCCTACCTGATTTTGGGAACCCTTCAGGGCATACCCGGAGGTCTGTATTTATTTCATTAGGAAATCTTTTTTTTTTTTTTAATTATACTTTAAGTTCTAGGGTACATGTGGATAACGTGCAGGTTTGTTACATATGTATACTTGTGCCATGTTGCTGTGCTGCACCCATCAACTCGTCAGCACCCATCAACTCGTCATTTACATCAGGTATAACTCCAAATGCAATCCCTCCCTCCTCCCCCCACCCCATGATAGGCCCCGGTGTATGATGTTCCCCTTCCCGAGTCCAAGTGATCTCATTGTTCAGTTCCCACCTATGAGTGAGAACATGCAGTGTTTGGTTTTCTGTTCTTGTGATAGTTTGCTGAGAATGATGGTTTCCAGCTGCATCCATGTCCCTACAAAGGGCACAAACTCATCCTTTTTTATGGCTGCATAGTATTCCATGGTGTATATGTGCCACATTTTCTTAATCCAGTCTGTCACTGATGGACATTTGGGTTGATTCCAAGTCTTTGCTATTGTGAATAGTGCCGCAATAAACATACGTGTGCATGTGTCTTTATAGCAGCATGATTTATAATTCTTTGGGTATATACCCAGTAATGGGATGGCTGGGTCATATGGTACATCTAGTTCTAGATCCTTGAGGAATCGCTGTACTGTTTTCCATAATGGTTGAACTAGTTTACAATCCTACCAACAGTGTAAAAGTGTTCCTATTTCTCCACATCCTCTCCAGCACCTGTTGTTTCCTGACTTTTTAATGATCGCCATTCTAACTGGTGTGAGATGGTATCTCATTGTGGTTTTGATTTGCATTTCTCTGATGGCCAGTGATGATGAGCATTTTTTCATGTGTCTGTTGGCTGTATGAATGTCTTCTTTTGAGAAATGTCTGTTCATATCCTTTGCCCACTTTTTGATGGGGTTGTTTGTTTTTTTCTTGTAAATTTGTTTGAGTTCTTTGTAGGTTCTGGATATTAGCCCTTTGTCAGATGAGTAGATTGCAAAAATTTTCTCCCATTCTGTAGGTTACCTGTTCACCAACTTATTTTAATGGCAAAGCAGGCACCTTAGCTATGGTTGTTGTGAAGTACACCACAAAAGTTTCTCGTAAGATGTGTTAGGCAGTGACTCACGGACTTACATTTTGTTACTCTCATTGAATCCTCCCATCTGGAAGGTGGTAGAACTGAGACCCTAGCCCACCACTATCTTATTCCAGAAGCTTTTTTTTTTTTTTTTTTCTTTTTGGCATGACAGCAATCTGCCTAGTGAATCAAAAGAGGTTAGTGTTGAAGGAGCTAAATGAGGAATAAGAGTTTGGGGATGGAGAATTTAACAGAAAAATGCTGTGATGAAGAAAGGAATCTAAAGATTTGGTTTTGTTTAAGTTATTGAATACGGATAGGTGATAATATGTGACATTCCAAAAAACAGTAATAAAGAAGGAAGGGTAATACAGGAGTCCAGCAAAACACCTGAGACACATAGTTCTGGTGGCTTTTCCAGGAGATTTGATGCCAAAGAGATTTTTGGTTTGGCAGGACGGTGGCTGTGAGGAATGATTTATCACAATGCTTTAAGATAGGAAAGGTGGGGTCTTTTTTTGTGAGCCACAGGAAGAGTTAAGCCCCTCTGAGGCAGTGGTCCCAGCTTTGTCTGTAAATTAGAATCACTTGGGGAAATTTAAAAACACAAATGCCCAGCCCTACCTCAAATTTTCTTGTGATAGACTTGAGGTGAAACTTCAGTAGTGGTAGCTTCAGTAGTTTGCTAAAGGTCCCAGGTGATTCTAATGTGCAGTCAGAATCAAGAATCCTGCTCTAAAGGGATTAATAATCAAAGGAAAGTGGAAATGATCATGAAAGAGTCAAGTATTAATGAGCAAAATAACCAGTAATTTTCTTATCTTTGTAGGAAATTTTATATATAGCAAATATACCTATGTAAACCAGAAATACTCATTTTTTAATTTCTATGTTAGTAGTATTCCTGATGTTAAAATTTGCTTAAAAGAGAATGTATAAAAACAGCGGATGCTTTTGGGTAACTGTATACAGGTGAAGTGTTTTTTTCTATTCCTTCATATGTTTTGTTTCTTTCAAAAACAGACTTTGTGCTAATTCTATAATCAGACTATACAAATAAGACACAAAGCAAAATCCGCATATTGAACCATTATATATATAATATAGAAATATATACCTATAATTACATAATTTGAGAGTTGTTCATATAAGAAAAGATCATTTAAACATAGTAACTGTTCAGACTTTTAAAATTAATTATTGACTTTAAATATCACTCACCTTATCAAATAAAAAATGCATTCACGTGGTCACCAAATGCTAGTGACCACTGCACAATTTTTATTTATTTTTTCACTCACTACAATGCCTGTAGGCAGGTGCTTTCATCAACTCCCTCTTATAAGTGAGGAAATAAAAGTATAGGGGACTTAATTGCCCAGGATCAAGAGGCTGTGAAATGGCAAAGGTGAGATTCCATTCAGTCTTGCACTATAGCATAGGCAATATTCTGTACTCTCTGATATTAATGTGCCTACTTGATTTAGGACCCTTCAGAAAACACATGGAGGTCAGTACTCATTTCATCTGGAAATCTTGCCCACTTAATGTTAAGGCAGACACCTAAGCTGTAGTTGGTGCCAGCTACACAGCAAAACTTCCACCTGAAAGAATGAATAATAAAAGAAATTCAACAGCCACTGTGGAGAACAGTATGGAGGCTCCTCAAAAAACTGAAAACTAAACTCCTGCACGATCCAGCAATTCCACTGCTAGGTATTTACCCCAAAGAAAGAAAATGAGTACAATGAAGAGATATACTCCCATGTTTATTGCAGCACTTTTCACAATAGCCAAGATTTGGAATCAAGTGTCCATCAACAGATGAATGAATAAAGAAAATGTAGTACATACAGACAATGGGATATTATCCAACCGTAAAATATAAAATCCAGACATTTGCAACAACACAGATGGAAATGGAGGGCATTATGTTAAGTGGAATAAGCCAGGCACAGAAAGATAAATGTAGCATGTCCCCACTCATGTGGGAGCTAAATTTAAAACAATTGAACTCATAAAGATAAAGGGCAGAATGATGGTTACCAGAGACTGGGAAGGTTAGTGGGCAGGGAGGGGAAAGTGGGGATTGTGAATGGGTGCAAAAATATGGCTAGATAGAATGACTAAGATTCAGTGTTTGATAGCACAATGGGGTGACTATGGTCAACAATAATTTATTGTGTATTTTACAATAGCTAAAAGAGTAGAATTGAAATGTTCTCAACACAGAAATTATAAATGCTTGAGGTAATGGATACCTCAATTACCCTGATGTAATAATTATACATTGCATGTGTGTATCAAAATATCACATATACCCAATAAATACGTACACGAAATATGTACCCATAAAATTTTTAAAAAAATCAATGGCAGGTTTCTTATCACAGTGACATGGGTTACTTTCATAAACAGTAAAAAGTTTTAAAAATAACCTCAAATCTACAATAGTTGCTGAATCTTAAACTTGTCACACATTGAATATTAAGTGCCGAGAGTTAAGAGCTATTTTCCACTTAAATAACAACAATTCGAGGAAGTGGTGGTGATCAGTCATCATTAGCCTTCACTTTAGTTTAATAGCCATTTAGTAACAACAGAGATAAATTTTATAGGTGCTAATTGACCCTGCAAGAAACCTTTGAAGCTCTCCCACTAGCTTAGGACTTTTTCTTTGAAGCCTTGTTTTAACTAAAGTGCCCCAGTAAAAACCTGGGAAAAATATACTTTAGAGAAAAAGATGCTGGTAAAAACCTTTGCACTATATGAATAATTGTAAAACTATGGTTTAGTGACTGTGAGCAAAACAAACCTGACCAGTACTTGACCACAAAGGACTCCCCGAGTTACTCTAAAAGTTTTTTGAGGAAGTACTTAAGAAGATTTTGAATATGTTATCAGTCTATTCTCTTAACATTAGGAAGAGACGAGAAAACAGCCTACATATTTACAGCACGATACAGTTTTCATAACTCATTTGATCCACATAAAAACCTTATATGATCTGAAGATCAAATAGGTAAAATAACTCACCCAAGGTCACCCTGCCAATGAATAGAAAAACTGGAATTCAATTAAGTGAACTAGAGCAAGGTTCCTTTCACTACACCGTAGCTGCCTTGCACATTCACTGTATTGTTGAGTTAGAGAAGTTGAATTAGAACAAGTAAGGAAATGAGGTACAAGTCTAGACATGGAAGACCTAAGAAGAAAGTGAGGAGATGTTTTAAAAGTACACTAGTGCTAAGCATTTACATTCTAGTTAAGCTCCAGGTTGACTAATATCCAATAAAAAGCCAGGCCTAATGAGAACAAAATAAAATCATATACAAGAATCTTTATTTTGACCCAGGAATTATTCCAAGCTTGTTTCCCACCCATTTGCTTCCACCTTCTTTCTTCCCTGGCTGTCCATGGTCTTCATATCATTTACAAGTTGTGAATTTGGGAGATAGCAAAAAAAAAAAAAAAAAAAAAGAGAGAAAGAAAGAAAAAGCAGTGTTCTAGAGAAAAACAGAGTGGGCTGGTTGGAAGATGACACCTTGGAATGGAATGGTGCAGAATTGACTTTGCCAAGGAGAAGGAGAGAAATGACTTCATTTCATCGTAACTATGCTTGAAAGAATGGAGTAGATGACCCCTTACAGCCACTTCCACTTGCCAGATTTCATATGCAAAATTACTCCTTTTTAATCCCTCAGAACACTGGAAAGGTTTCAAAAGACAAGTAATCTTAGCACATTCTGTCCTTTGAGAACCGTGGATGAAAGGGGCACATAAATTTCTGTTACTAGTTACATGCAGTAATTTTAGTTGGATTTCCCTGATGCATCTCCCCT